CAATTTAAGAAAAATAGGTCTTGAAGATTTTTAGTTTCATATTTTAAAAAAAATTTTGTCTTGTTTTAAATTTGTAAATGTTTTAAATTGTAATAACTCTGATATGGTTTTCACCATGATAATAGTCTAAGAAGCTGGCATGGCATCAATTTTCTTTCTTTAATCTATTATTAATGCACAGAATAATTACTACTAATAATAGTAACAAAGACATTTGTTCATTTATGATTTATTTCTCTTTTGAGAAGTCAAAATACTTTTTGGGACATTTTAAGACATTTATCCCACAAGGATAGCAAATCTGCACACAGACAGGTTTAGCTCTATTTGAAATTTAATGCTATTATTATTTAACTGTTTTTGATTAGTATTACACCTTTAAAACAGTTGTAGAATTTAATATTTTGGAAATGTGTGTATTTTCAGTCTTTAATTTAATGTGAAGTTTTAGTCATTTTATGTGCTTTTGTCATTTAATAGGTTTTTTAAATATTTCTGTTTAGCTTTTTTTTCTTCAGTTTTTTTAATTTTAGAACTTCAACACCCTTAGTACTATTATAGCATCTATCAATATTTTGAATGAGCTTTTATTATTATATTTTCAGTTTTAGTAATTTTGTTCTTTTTGTCTTTTTTTTAATGTTTGTATTTAGCATTAGATTTTTTTAGTAATTTTAGAACTTCAAAACTTTATAGTATTATCAATATTTTGAATTAGATTTCAATTTTACTTACATTCTTCATTTTCTTTTAGTAATTTTGTGTTCTTGTCATTTTTGTAATTTTTCTGTTTAATATTTCTAACAATTTTTTTTCTAATTTTAGAACTTTAACTTTTTCTCATTTGAAAAATAATTTTTATATATATATAGTTGTTGTTAATAATAACATCACTGAAGTACATGGCACAGTTTGCTTGATTCATACGTGCTTGTTCAAACACAGTGATTGTGTGTCTGCAGGTCCAGAATCTGTCTGGCGGTGAGCTGCAGCGTGTGGCTTTGGCTCTGTGTTTAGGAAAGCCTGCGGATGTGTATCTGATCGACGAGCCGTCTGCGTATCTGGACTCTGAGCAGCGTCTGATGGCTGCCAGGGTCATCAAACGGTAACATCTACAACACTTTCATGGCTGTTTTTATCGGTTTGATGCACTCGATGCTTATTTCACAGATTCCTTCCTTTATTTGCCATGCAGATTCATCCTTCACGCCAAGAAGACGGCATTTGTGGTGGAGCACGACTTCATCATGGCCACTTATCTGGCGGACCGAGTCATCGTCTTCGACGGGATTCCATCCAGAAACACTAACGCCAATGCGTGCGTACTTCATTTGCTCTGATAACGTGTCTGTAATTGGTAGTTCTTTTGCAAAAGTTTCCTTAAATGTACAAATGAAAAATGTATAGAATAATCACATAACTCTATGAGCATGCTGGTGATTATGAAACCAATGTTAATACTGAAATGTGCTTCTCATCAGTCCGCAGACCCTGCTGGCTGGCATGAATAAGTTTTTAGCGCAGCTGGAGATCACGTTCAGAAGAGACCCAAACAACTTCAGACCAAGAATTAACAAACTCCATTCCATTAAGGTAAACATTCAAATTGAAATGACTCTTTACAAATTACATTGGCAGGCAGTTTTCTTCGGATATCATTTATTCAGTGTTATTGTTGGTATTATTACGATAATGTTTTTATTTCCGATTTTGAACTAGTTTTATTTTTATATTTGTTTTTGACATTTTTTTGTAATTTGTGTTTTTGGAATTTTTTATGTAAATATAGGTTTTAGTAATTTATATCAGTTTTACTTAGTTAAGTTTACTTCAAGTTCAACTAGGCTTTGGCTCTGTGTTTAGGAAAGCCGGCGGATGTGTATCTGATCGACGAGCCGTCTGCGTATCTGGACTCTGAGCAGCGTCTGATGGCTGCCAGGGTCATCAAACGGTAACATCTACAACACTTTCATGGCTGTTTTTATCGGTTTGATGCACTCGATGCTTATTTCACAGATTCCTTCCTTTATTTGCCATGCAGATTCATCCTTCACGCCAAGAAGACGGCATTTGTGGTGGAGCACGACTTCATCATGGCCACTTATCTGGCGGACCGAGTCATCGTCTTCGACGGAATTCCATCCAGAAACACTAACGCCAATGCGTGCGTACTTCATCTGCTCTGATAACGTGTCTGTAAATGGTAGTTCCCTTGCAAAAGTTTCCTTAAATGTACAAATGAAAAATGTATAGAAAAGACATTTTCAGTGTTTCAGATATTCAGTCATAACTCTATGAGCATGCTGGTGATTATGAAACCAATGTTAATACTGAAATGTGCTTCTCATCAGTCTGCAGACCCTGCTGGCTGGCATGAATAAGTTTTTAGCGCAGCTGGAGATCACGTTCAGAAGAGACCCAAACAACTTCAGACCAAGAATTAACAAACTCCATTCCATTAAGGTAAACATTCAAATTGAAATGACTCTTTACAAATTACATTGGCAGATAATTTTCTTCGGATATCATTTATTCAGTGTTATTGTTGGTATTATTACGATAATGTTTTTATTTCCGATTTTGAACTAGTTTTATTTTTATATTTGTTTTTGACATTTTTTTGTAATTTGTGTTTTTGGAATTTTTTATGTAAATATAGGTTTTAGTAATTTATATCAGTTTTACTTAGTTAAGTTTACTTCAAGTTCAACTAAATGAAAATTAGACATTTCGCCTTGGCAACTAGCTGAAATCAAGTAAGTTTAAAGCTTGTTTTATCTTTTATTTAAATTTTTTATGGTTTTAGTTTTAGTTAACTATAATAACTGCATTTACCCCAAAATTAATTCACTTTTAAACTGATTTGACATTACAGATTGTTTTAAAGCAGCTTCACAGTATTAATTTTACAAACACCAGTAATGTCATTATTCAGCTCGATTCAGTTTACATTTACATTTAGTCATTTAGCACAGTGGTTCCCAACCCTGGTCCTGGAGGCACCCCCCCAACACTGCACATTTTGCATGTCTCCTTTCTGACACACCAGTTTCAGCTCTTGGAGTCTCTCCTAATGAGCTGATGATCTGAATCAGGTGTTTGATTAAGGAGACATGCAAAACATGCAGTGTTGGGGTGCCTCCAGGACCAGGGTTGGGAACCACTGATTTAGCAGACACTTTTATCCAAAGTGACTTACAAATGAGGACAATGGAAGCAATCAAAATCAACAAAAGAGCAATGATATGCAAGTGCTATGACAAGTCTCAGTTAGCTTAACATCTCAAATTCAGTGTTTGGATTGCAACCATCTCAAAACTGAAGCTTCCTAGCTAGATAGCATTTTTGGGCCTCATAATAGGGTTTCATGCTTCTGTGACTTCCAAAAATGCTGTCTAAATAGGCTGTTGACTTGATGGTCTTGATGTTGTATCAAAGTGTGGCCAGTAGCTTTGTACCTGTTTATTACAAAACTGTTATCTGCTTTCGCCTTTAAGGATGTGGAACAAAAGAAGAGTGGAAACTACTTCTTCCTGGATGACTGAAGATTCCATTTCACAGAATTCCAGAAATGTAGCCGCTCAATATGACATCAGACCAGCAAGCGCTGGCACTGTGGACTTATATGTTTGACTGAATTACCATCACCACTTCAAACATACAGATCTGCTCCACTCCTCTCCTCTCCGCCATTGGTGCGATTCAACAGAGACAAGACGTATCCTCTGACATAAAGCCAAACTTGTGAGGAGAGGAAATTATTTTAAAAAATATTTGTGTCTGGGTGAATTATCGTTATCATTAACAACTGAAGTTCTTTCTCGTCACAAAGTGGTGCGAACCAATTTACACACGCCAAACATGCAACTGTATATTTTGAATAAAATATTTTAATCATGTTACACGATGTGTTACATATTAAATAACTTGATTTCTCAAAATTAGGCTTTTGCATTCTGCAGTCTTGTGAAGATGCAATTAGAAGCGGTTCAATATTAAAACGCACTAGATTTTTGCTACACAAAATCTGTTGTCAATGATATTGGGTGACGTGTCTGTGCAGTGAGATTGTTTTGTAATAAACTGACTTTAAATGGAAAGACTGCAGCTGAGAAAGATGTTCTTTGGCTTGTATTTGGTGTCAAAATACATCGTTCTGTATGTACTTTTTTCCTCTGAAGACCATATTTGACAAATGATAAGGCAAGAGAGTCTGGTCTGGTCCAGCTAAATATATAAATACATAGTCCCTGAAGGGAACTGCAACTGAAAAATTGAAAGGCAACAATGGAGAAAGACATTCTTAATCTTTTATTTGTTTGGTGTTAAAACTACATCTTTGGATCAGAAATGTAATTTATTACAGGCATTTTGCATCAACATTCATTCAGCAGACACCCTAGAACCCTGTGGAGGAGGTTGATACAGTGCAATAAAGGTGCAGTGAGAAACTCAACGAAAACCACATTTTCCAAAACAAAAAAAGGCACTTTCCTGGCACTTTTCCTGTCATCTCAGGTGATATGCTGACACCATTATGCTCACCTTGCAGCACAAGATGAATTGTTTACAAGTTTTTCAGGAAAATTCTGATTAAGACAGTCCTCTGAGAACCAGTCTAAAAAAAAATACCCACATTAAAAGTTGTAAATAAAAGATTTCAGTGTTTACAGGAAGTGCACATAGATATGAAAAGTTTTATACATTCAAATCAATATAAAACCAATATTTTTTCCCTTTTGCTGTGCATGTAAGGGCAGTGCAACAAGAAAACAAAATATTAGATTTTATTACCAATGCAAACACACATTTACATTTTCACAGGGGTTTAGTGAAATAGGAACAGGTGAAACAGTCACTGTACTTTTTTAAATCAAGAATGTGAGGGGAGAAAAAGCCAGAAAACTGTTAAAAACATTGGATATATTCCTAATCAATACCATTTACCAAAAGCCACCCATAAACTCAAAACAACAGATTTTGTGTATCTGATATCATTGTAAACCAAAAAATAGTGTATATCCAGCATTTCAGCATCACGGGTATGGTAACTGCATCACTACCCTTGGACCTGCACCTCGTCTCCCAAAATGTCTATAAGACGATTGTTCATCTTGTCTTCCACGGCCAGAATAATTTTTCTGGCCTCGGTGGCCCCTGCCTCGATATCCTCCTCTGTCATCTTGGCCCCGTCTTCCTCCACCCCTGTAGGACTGGCTGTAGAAGGACTTAGTTGCTCTAAGATTTACATTGGGATACTCCATCTCTTCCACAGACCAGTTATCATCAGGAGAATATGGGTGAATGGAGCGAGAAGGGTCTTCTGCGATAGGACCAGCATGATGGCTCTGTGGAAAGACTCCCCCTTGTTTTCCTAAGTTCCCATTGGTAAAAGGGGTCAATCCTACCATGTCTCCTTGCAGGGGGCCAATCGGAAAAGGTTGTACAACAGAACAAGGTCCAGTAAAGGGTGGAGGTTCCATTGTGGCCACTGAAACGGGAATATCTACAGTCTTGAAATCACCAGCACTCAAATGAGGTTGGCCTCCAGGAAAGCCAGCAGTCTTCTGCAAGGACCCGAACTGGGGGTTTACAGACCTCTGGCCATTCCCTTGACCTCTGTCCACTGATGGAGGAACAAATGGCAAGACATCCATCCGACCATGAGGGCCATGGTTTAAGGCCTCAAGAGGCATTGGAAATGGCATACGGTGGTACCCAACGGATGACGGCGGATACATCTGATTCCCAGGGGGTGGATAGGGTGGTGGGGAAAAATGCACTGGAGGGCCAGATGGGTACGACCCAGCATAGCTACTTGGACCAGAAGAAACTGGCCAGGTCATTGGTGGCCTTGGTGGCAGTGACATTGGAATGGATACAGGATGATCATTGTACGCTCCCAACTCTATGGGACCAACAGGACCGCTACCAGATGCTACAGGTGCAACGGGAGCATGGCTGTCCAATGAGGTGTCAGGGATGGAGCTCAAATTTTGAGGAGGAGAAGGGTTTTCTGGTTGCCATGAAGTCACAGTGGGGTTAGCAGGAGAGTCCGAGGAAGGAGGAGGCCCTCTAAGGTGCATCTGATAGGCTTGGTTAAGTGCACCCAAATATATGATGGGAGGAAACATCGGCTGAGAGTATGCCTGTGGAAATTGGGAGTACTATGTAATTCCATAAACAGTGGTCTTTAATAAAGCAATAAATGCAAAGAAGAGTTCTCAAACCGTGTACCTTGACACCGAGGTTGAAGAAGAACCTGAGGACATTCATATCTGAAATAATACGGAATGCGTTTCAAAGATTAAAATCATTATGATGAAGACAGACTAAATAGAGTTGAATAATGGCCTATATTTGAAAAGGTATCTTACATGTCAACTCATAAGTACTGAAACTGACTATAAGGGTGGCATAGCAACAAAGACAACAAACAGCTCAAGTACAATTTACCTAAAAGTCTAACATTTGGCTGCTTGAATCAATGTTGAGGTAGAAGGGAAAGTTTCTATTTCTTTTTTTACATACAGTATAAAATGGATCACTAGGGTCTTTATTACCTTGCGGTAGGTCTTCTCCTTTTTGGGAGAAGGAATAGGGGGGCAGCGGTTCCACCTCTCCCTTCTCGTTCTTGGGGAATCCTGGATAAACTGGGTCCTGAAGGAGCTGAGACCATTGGACATGAGGATAGGGGAGTTGTTGGGGTTGGGATGGGGGGTCAGAAGCAAGTGCTACACCTGATGGACAAGAGATGTTCTGTGAGAACTCATGGAATTTTGATCGGCTGAGTCTACTAAAAGGTCATCATTTGCAACCAATTTTACTTCTGAAATAAGATGCATTTCAAACAATGCCATGTCCAAGATTGAATTAGGATGAAACTTACTAGAGGCAGGCATGGCTGACGTTTCACAGGGTCGAGGAAAACCTGCGGATGTGTATCTGATCGACGAGCCGTCTGCGTATCTGGACTCTGAGCAGCGTCTGATGGCTGCCAGGGTCATCAAACGGTAACATCTACAACACTTTCATGGCTGTTTTTATCGGTTTGATGCACTCGATGCTTATTTCACAGATTCCTTCCTTTATTTGCCATGCAGATTCATCCTTCACGCCAAGAAGACGGCATTTGTGGTGGAGCACGACTTCATCATGGCCACTTATCTGGCGGACCGAGTCATCGTCTTCGACGGGATTCCATCCAGAAACACTAACGCCAATGCGTGCGTACTTCATTTGCTCTGATAACGTGTCTGTAATTGGTAGTTCTTTTGCAAAAGTTTCCTTAAATGTACAAATGAAAAATGTATAGAATAATCACATAACTCTATGAGCATGCTGGTGATTATGAAACCAATGTTAATACTGAAATGTGCTTCTCATCAGTCCGCAGACCCTGCTGGCTGGCATGAATAAGTTTTTAGCGCAGCTGGAGATCACGTTCAGAAGAGACCCAAACAACTTCAGACCAAGAATTAACAAACTCCATTCCATTAAGGTAAACATTCAAATTGAAATGACTCTTTACAAATTACATTGGCAGATCATTTTCTTCAGATATCATTTATTCAGTGTTATTGTTGGTATTATTACGATAATGTTTTTATTTCCGATTTTGAACTAGTTTTATTTTGATATTTGTTTTTGAAATTGTTTTGTAATTTGTGTTTTTGCCATTTTTTATGTAAATATAGTTTTTAGTAATTTATATCAGTTTTACTTAGTTAAGTTTACTTCAAGTTCAACTAAATGAAAATTAGACATTTCGCCTTGGCAACTAGCTGAAATCAAGTAAGTTTAAAGTTTGTTTTATCTTTTATTTAAATTTTTTATGGTTTTAGTTTTAGTTAACTATAATAACTGCATTTACCCCAAAATTAATTCACTTTTAAACTGATTTGACATTACAGATTGTTTTAAAGCAGCTTCACAGTATTAATTTTACAAACACCAGTAATGTCATTATTCAGCTCGATTCAGTTTACATTTACATTTAGTCATTTAGCACAGTGGTTCCCAACCCTGGTCCTGGAGGCACCCCCCCAACACTGCACATTTTGCATGTCTCCTTTCTGACACACCAGTTTCAGCTCTTGGAGTCTCTCCTAATGAGCTGATGATCTGAATCAGGTGTTTGATTAAGGAGACATGCAAAACATGCAGTGTTGGGGTGCCTCCAGGACCAGGGTTGGGAACCACTGATTTAGCAGACACTTTTATCCAAAGTGACTTACAAATGAGGACAATGGAAGCAATCAAAATCAACAAAAGAGCAATGATATGCAAGTGCTATGACAAGTCTCAGTTAGCTTAACATCTCAAATTCAGTGTTTGGATTGCAACCATCTCAAAACTGAAGCTTCCTAGCTAGATAGCATTTTTGGGCCTCATAATAGGGTTTCATGCTTCTGTGACTTCCAAAAATGCTGTCTAAATAGGCTGTTGACTTGATGGTCTTGATGTTGTATCAAAGTGTGGCCAGTAGCTTTGTACCTGTTTATTACAAAACTGTTATCTGCTTTCGCCTTTAAGGATGTGGAACAAAAGAAGAGTGGAAACTACTTCTTCCTGGATGACTGAAGATTCCATTTCACATAATTCCAGAAATGTAGCCGCTCAATATGACATCAGACCAGCAAGCGCTGGCACTGTGGACTTATATGTTTGACTGAATTACCATCACCACTTCAAACATACAGATCTGCTCCACTCCTCTCCTCTCAGCCATTGGTGCGATTCAACAGAGACAAGACGTATCCTCTGACATAAAGCCAAACTTGTGAGGAGAGGAAATTATTTTAAAAAATATTTGTGTCTGGGTGAATTATCGTTATCATTAACAACTGAAGTTCTTTCTCGTCACAAAGTGGTGCGAACCAATTTACACACGCCAAACATGCAACTGTATATTTTGAATAAAATATTTTAATCATGTTACACGATGTGTTACATATTAAATAACTTGATTTCTCAAAATTAGGCTTTTGCATTCTGCAGTCTTGTGAAGATGCAATTAGAAGCGGTTCAATATTAAAACGCACTAGATTTTTGCTACACAAAATCTGTTGTCAATGATATTGGGTGACGTGTCTGTGCAGTGAGATTGTTTTGTAATAAACTGACTTTAAATGGAAAGACTGCAGCTGAGAAAGATGTTCTTTGGCTTGTATTTGGTGTCAAAATACATCGTTCTGTATGTACTTTTTTCCTCTGAAGACCATATTTGACAAATGATAAGGCAAGAGAGTCTGGTCTGGTCCAGCTAAATATATAAATACATAGTCCCTGAAGGGAACTGCAACTGAAAAATTGAAAGGCAACAATGGAGAAAGACATTCTTAATCTTTTATTTGTTTGGTGTTAAAACTACATCTTTGGATCAGAAATGTAATTTATTACAGGCATTTTGCATCAACATTCATTCAGCAGACACCCTAGAACCCTGTGGAGGAGGTTGATAGAGTGCAATAAAGGTGCAGTGAGAAACTCAACGAAAACCACATTTTCCAAAACAAAAAAAGGCACTTTCCTGGCACTTTTCCTGTCATCTCAGGTGATATGCTGACACCATTATGCTCACCTTGCAGCACAAGATGAATTGTTTACAAGTTTTTCAGGAAAATTCTGATTAAGACAGTCCTCTGAGAACCAGTCTAAAAAAAAAAACCCACATTAAAAGTTGTAAATAAAAGATTTCAGTGTTTACAGGAAGTGCACATAGATATGAAAAGTTTTATACATTCAAATCAATATAAAACCAATATTTTTTCCCTTTTGCTGTGCATGTAAGGGCAGTGCAACAAGAAAACAAAATATTAGATTTTATTACCAATGCAAACACACATTTACATTTTCACAGGGGTTTAGTGAAATAGGAACAGGTGAAACAGTCACTGTACTTTTTTAAATCAAGAATGTGAGGGGAGAAAAAGCCAGAAAACTGTTAAAAACATTGGATATATTCCTAATCAATACCATTTACCAAAAGCCACCCATAAACTCAAAACAACAGATTTTGTGTATCTGATATCATTGTAAACCAAAAAATAGTGTATATCCAGCATTTCAGCATCACGGGTATGGTAACTGCATCACTACCCTTGGACCTGCACCTCGTCTCCCAAAATGTCTATAAGACGATTGTTCATCTTGTCTTCCACGGCCAGAATAATTTTTCTGGCCTCGGTGGCCCCTGCCTCGATATCCTCCTCTGTCATCTTGGCCCCGTCTTCCTCCACCCCTGTAGGACTGGCTGTAGAAGGACTTAGTTGCTCTAAGATTTACATTGGGATACTCCATCTCTTCCACAGACCAGTTATCATCAGGAGAATATGGGTGAATGGAGCGAGAAGGGTCTTCTGCGATAGGACCAGCATGATGGCTCTGTGGAAAGACTCCCCCTTGTTTTCCTAAGTTCCCATTGGTAAAAGGGGTCAATCCTACCATGTCTCCTTGCAGGGGGCCAATCGGAAAAGGTTGTACAACAGAACAAGGTCCAGTAAAGGGTGGAGGTTCCATTGTGGCCACTGAAACGGGAATATCTACAGTCTTGAAATCACCAGCACTCAAATGAGGTTGGCCTCCAGGAAAGCCAGCAGTCTTCTGCAAGGACCCGAACTGGGGGTTTACAGACCTCTGGCCATTCCCTTGACCTCTGTCCACTGATGGAGGAACAAATGGCAAGACATCCATCCGACCATGAGGGCCATGGTTTAAGGCCTCAAGAGGCATTGGAAATGGCATACGGTGGTACCCAACGGATGACGGCGGATACATCTGATTCCCAGGGGGTGGATAGGGTGGTGGGGAAAAATGCACTGGAGGGCCAGATGGGTACGACCCAGCATAGCTACTTGGACCAGAAGAAACTGGCCAGGTCATTGGTGGCCTTGGTGGCAGTGACATTGGAATGGATACAGGATGATCATTGTACGCTCCCAACTCTATGGGACCAACAGGACCGCTACCAGATGCTACAGGTGCAACGGGAGCATGGCTGTCCAATGAGGTGTCAGGGATGGAGCTCAAATTTTGAGGAGGAGAAGGGTTTTCTGGTTGCCATGAAGTCACAGTGGGGTTAGCAGGAGAGTCCGAGGAAGGAGGAGGCCCTCTAAGGTGCATCTGATAGGCTTGGTTAAGTGCACCCAAATATATGATGGGAGGAAACATCGGCTGAGAGTATGCCTGTGGAAATTGGGAGTACTATGTAATTCCATAAACAGTGGTCTTTAATAAAGCAATAAATGCAAAGAAGAGTTCTCAAACCGTGTACCTTGACACCGAGGTTGAAGAAGAACCTGAGGACATTCATATCTGAAATAATACGGAATGCGTTTCAAAGATTAAAATCATTATGATGAAGACAGACTAAATAGAGTTGAATAATGGCCTATATTTGAAAAGGTATCTTACATGTCAACTCATAAGTACTGAAACTGACTATAAGGGTGGCATAGCAACAAAGACAACAAACAGCTCAAGTACAATTTACCTAAAAGTCTAACATTTGGCTGCTTGAATCAATGTTGAGGTAGAAGGGAAAGTTTCTATTTCTTTTTTTACATACAGTATAAAATGGATCACTAGGGTCTTTATTACCTTGCGGTAGGTCTTCTCCTTTTTGGGAGAAGGAATAGGGGGGCAGCGGTTCCACCTCTCCCTTCTCGTTCTTGGGGAATCCTGGATAAACTGGGTCCTGAAGGAGCTGAGACCATTGGACATGAGGATAGGGGAGTTGTTGGGGTTGGGATGGGGGGTCAGAAGCAAGTGCTACACCTGATGGACAAGAGATGTTCTGTGAGAACTCATGGAATTTTGATCGGCTGAGTCTACTAAAAGGTCATAATTTGCAACCAATTTTACTTCTGAAATAAGATGCATTTCAAACAATGCCATGTCCAAGATTGAATTAGGATGAAA